CGATCCCAGGCCCCTCCGCTTCCGTGCCATTGCCTGGTGAAGCTTCCGGAAGTTCACGTTTCTCTCCTGTCCCAACCCTTTAATGGCTCCCACTGTCAACTAATTAAATATAAATTCTGGGCACTCGGGCCCATGCATTAGGTTTTGTTTTGTTTTTAAGTAAGTGCTACACCCAACATGGGGCTTGAACTCTCGACCTTACGATCCAGAGTTACATGCTCTACCCACTGGGCCAACCAGGTGCCCCCCCCATTAGTAATATTTTAATTCTGCAACTGACTTTAATGTAGACCTCAAGGGAAAAGCCATTGCCTTGGAGCTGTGGTGTCCAAGAAAACTTCTGCGAGAACCGAAACGTTCTGTGTCTGCGGAGTGTGGCACACTGGCCACCAGCCACGCGAGGTTCCCCCGAGCACCTAAGTGTGGCCTGAGCGACTGAGGAACTGAACATTGAATTACTCTTAATGTTAACCCATTTAAGTTAACATTAAGCACAGTCTTAGAACGTGAATCCAATGATTGTCACGTTTTGTAAAACAGAGCCCTCTTTTTAAAAAATATTTCTTTAGGGGCGCCTGGGTGGCTCAGTTGGTTAAGCGCCTGCCTTCAGGTCAGATCAGGATCCCAGGGATTGAGCCCTGAGTCAGAGCACCTGTTCAACGGGGAGCCTGCTTCCCCCTCTCCCTCTGCCATCCCTCCACCACGCTCTCTGGCTCCATCTATCAAATACATAAATAAAGTCCTTAAAAACATATTTCTTTATTATGAAGGCTATTAGATGTATGGAAGACTTATAACACATGGGCGTTTTCAAGAAAAACAGCTACTGGGGCGCCTGGGTGGCTCAGTGGGTTAAAGCCTCTGCCTTCGGCTCAGGTCATGATCTCAGGGTCCTAGGATCGAGCCCCGCATCGGGCTCTCTGCTCAGCGGGGAGCCTGCTTCCTCCTCTCTCTCTGCTGCCGCTCTGCCTACTTGTAATCTCTCTGTCAAATAAATAAATAAAATCTTAAAAGAGAAAAAAGAAAAACAGCTACTATTACACCAGCAGCAAACAGCTAACGCCCCGTAGCCACCGACCCGCGGCCCCCGTGTTCTAAGGCTCCCACGGAGCACACACATGCATGGATTCCTGGACGTCCCCTCCCCACAGGAAGGTTGCTAACTTGAGGCAGGTCATGGTCAGTCAGTGGTGGGGCTGGGAGTCAAACATGAGCTGAGCCAGCCGCCTCCCCCCATGCCAGCCACGGCAGCAGTGCCCACCAGAACGGGCCCAAGGCCAGTGCCCGGGCAGCTGGGTGCAGAGGAGCCCACTTTCTCGAAGTACACATCACGGAAAGTGTAGAAGGAGCGTAAATACAGCGGCTGCAAACCCAGCAGGCACTGACTATGTTCCAGGCTCTGCTCGGAACAGTCTAGATACATGTATTCATTTATTTAACAATTTTATTTATGTATTTGAGAGAGAGAGAGAGCACAGGAGCAGGGCAGAGGAAGAGGCAGAAGGAGAAGCAGACCCCCGCGGAGCGGGGAGCCCAACCCCAGGACTCTGGGATCACCCCCCTACCCCGTGGAAGGCAGATGCCCAACCAATTGAGCCACCCAGGAGCCCCCAGATACATTTATCCGTGCCCGTCCCTTCACGAGCCCTCTTTACAGACATGCAGACTGAGACTCGGGGTTAGGTAGCTCTGTAGGATCCTGTGGCCGGGAGGGGCTTGGGCGAGGCCACTGGACCGCTTGGATGCCCTAGTGAAATGCATAAATACACATATCCCCTCTTTTACATCCCAGGGGAGGGGTCAATGCAGACCCATTTTGCAAACCGCTGGTCTGAACCACCCATTCTACCTCCCTGTTCCAGAGGGTAACGGGGGTGGGGGGGCTTCACACAGAGCGGGCACGGGAGCTGAACCCCTAACTTGGAAGCCCAGGAGAAGGCAACTGAACTTTCTCTTGAACCTACAGAGCGTCTGAGGTTTTCAGAGGGCCGGGCTCCTCTGCCCTTCACGACACCCCACAAGGTAGTAATCTGTATCACAGTTTTACAGTGGAAGAGAATTTGGTTTAGAAATTCTATCCAAGTTGTTTGCCAAAAGTGAGATTCAAACCAGTTTCCCTGACATGCTAACCCGGGTAGTTTCCACCAGACCACACTGCCCCTTCTCCTAGCTCCCTGAGCACCAGCGCTCGGGCTGCGTTGTTACTCCCCCCTTCCCCACAGGGACACTAAGGACCCCACCATGCCCCTGACCTTGGCCCTCCAGAGAGAGGCTTCAGAACCCTAGCGCGGGGTTTGCCCTCACAATCTCCTCTGCGGCAGGGCCCTGAGTCCCCTGACTTCTGTCCTGACCCCCTCCCACACACAAGTTGAACCAAACACCAGCATCCACGGAAGGATTTCACGGACACATCTGTGAATTGGTTCCAAGCTGGGCTGGGAATCTGGGGGCCTGTGACCTGTGTGTTTTCCATCCCACCGCTCAAACGGGGGTCCAAAGCAGAAGCCCCACCTTGGGGCTTGTTGGAACGGCAGCCGTCCCCAACCATACTGAGTTAGATTCTGCTTTTCAAGAGGATTCCCAGATGATTTGTGGGCCCATTCAAGCGTGCAGGGCACTAAGTTCCACCGGACTCCCAGGGGAGGTCGGCTCAGCACCCCCCACCCCCGCCACCGTAATTGAGCTTGGCTGGGCTGTTAGGGCCAGCTGTGAGGTGGTTGAGGATGTTATTGTAGGGAAAACTTGGATATTAAATTGCAACCAAGGGCTGGGGTGGGGGGGTGGGGGGATTACTGCAACAAAGGGAATCCTGATAGTTTCCCCGCAGCCAGCATCTGCAGGTGGACTGGATGGCGGCCTGAGAGACTTGTGGAAGGGTTCAGAGGCCTTGCAGCTACCTGTTGGGACGCAGCAGCACGGAGAGATGGGGCTCTTGGGGGGCTGCACTAGATTGGAGAACAGTTTAGAACATGTTTGTTGTGCTGAATGTCGCCTGTCTCTAACACCGGCCTGGACACTTAAAGGAAATATATTGGGGGACAGGATTTCCTGAGACAGCCTTAGGAACCTGTGACAAGACTCTGCTAACAAGAACAGAGAAAAGGGCAGGATCAGAACCACCACACTGACAACAGCTCACGCCGGAACGCCCTGCCGCGCAACAACTGGAACCTGGGAGCTGTGTTGCAACAAGCTCTGTCTGTGGCTGAGGCCATATCTGGCTCTTTCATTGCACCGGGAGTGTCCCTTTGCTACAGGAGCGCCTGTGGACAGGGCCAGAGCGACTCCTATTACAAGGGGGAACTATGCCGAGAGGCCACACTGTTATGAAAGCAAAACCCGTGAAATGCATTGCCGTTAAGGACGGAATGCATACCAGCGGCGGGCTGGTACGACTGTGCGGAGCAGTGTCAGTTAACACGGAGCAGCCATCCCCTGCCTCCCAAGTCCGGGTCAGGAAGGGGGCTCAGGGAAGTTCAAGGGGTCCCTGTTCTCAGGAGCGGGGTGTGGACCTTGGCCTTCTGCTACATCCTGGGCTTCCTTGCAGGAAGACTTTGCATATGCTTTGAAGTGCATCGGGAAACTCGCGGTTAGAAAAGCATGCATGCCTATTTTACCTATTCAAATCCAGAACATGCAGTTGCAAAACTTTAAGGATCTCAGAAGTGCCATAAGAGATCCAAATATCTTATTTCTTCTTTTTTTAATTTTTAAAAAAGATTTTATTTATTTGACAGAGATCATAAGTAGGCGGAGAGGCAGGCAGAGAGAGGGGGTCGTTGGGCATGACCCGATGTGGCCGAGATCATGACCTGAGCGGAAGGCAGAAGCTTAACCCCCTGAGCCACGCAGGAGCCCCAAATATCTTATTTCCCTTTTTTTTTTTTAAGATTTTATTTTATTTTAAAGATTTTATTTATTTATTTGACAGACAGAAATCACAAGTAGGCAGAGAGGCAGGCAGAGCGAAAGGGGGAGGCAGTCTCCCTGCTGAGCAGAGAGCCGGATGCGGGGCTCAATCCCAGGACCCTGAGATCATGACCTGAGCCGAAGGCAGAGGCTTAAACCACTGAGCCACCCAGGCGCCCCCCAAATATCTTATTTCTAAGAGACCATAGGTGCCTGGATTTCAGCAAACCCGAGAAATAATTACTACAGCTCTGTTTGGCTTAATGGGAAGAGACCTGAGTTCAAGTTTTGGCTCCACCCCTTGTCAACCTAGAAGCCAGACAGAAACGGAATATGGAATCCAGCAGAATCCCTCATTCTCCGACGCCAGCTCCGTCACCACCTCTGTGAAGCCTTCCCAGATTCTGCCCCATTCCCCCTCTCCCTCCCCAGAGAGGCAGTGTCCGGCTCCCCGATCTTCACGGTGTGGTTTACTGGAGGTTTGGGATTTACCGGCCTTGTGTGGGGTCCCCCCCCACCTCCCCCCCAACCCTGAGAACAGGGACCGTCTTTGCAGGCTCAGCGGTGGAGGAGCCCAGACCGCCTTTGCCAGGAAGTAGCGCCCAGAACGTGGCCCACGAGCCCTCGGACACCTCCCGACTCCCAAACTCGAGCCTCTCCCCTCCGCCGAGGCCGTTCGGACCCCCGGGCGTCTGCACGTCGGTGCCTCGCAAGCACTGGGGGACACGGAGGGGGCGGAGGGCAGGGAGAGCCCGCGAGCACATGGGCTCCGGCGGCCGCGTCGGGCCCCGCGTGCGAGCTATCCCGGGCCCAGGGGAGGGGCGCCAGACCGCTCCGTCCAGCCGGGCGCCAGCTCCTCCCGGCGGGCGTGCAGGCGGGCGCCCCCCGACAGCCGCACACAAAGCCCGCTCGGCTAGCTCGGCGCTCGACTCCTCAAGCCTGTGCCGCTGCGCGCCGCCGGGCGGCCCCGGGTTGGGCGTCGGGCCGCGGCAGGCCCGGGGCGTCGAGCGCCGCGCGCATCGAACCGGCGCGGGAGGGGGAGGGGAGCGGGGGAGGAGGGGGAGGGGGCCGGCGGGGGAGGAGGAAGAGGCCTCGCGCCGAGGAGGGAGCAATTGAATTTCAAACACAAACAACCGCACGAGCGCGCAGCACCGCGCCGCCGCATCCGCGCCCGCCCCGTCCGAGCGGCGCGGGCGCACAGCCGTGGCCGCGCCGGAGCTGGGGCCGGGGGCCGCCATCGAGGCGGGGGCCGCGCGAGGGCCGGAGCGCAGCGGCGCCGCCACCGCCGCGCGCGCAAACTTGGGCTCACGCTCGCCGGCGCGGCGCGGAGCCCGGGGCGCCCGGAGCCCCGCCATGTCGCGCTCCAACCGGCAGAAGGAGTACAAGTGCGGGGACCTGGTGTTCGCCAAGATGAAGGGCTACCCGCACTGGCCGGCCCGGGTGAGCAGCGCGGCCCGCCGCCCCGGCCCCGGGCTGGGTTGCGTAACACCCGGGAGGATGCGGGCGCCCCGCGCGAAGGGGCGCGGGCGGGGGGCAGCCGAGTCGCCGGCTCGCTGCGAGCGTGTCCGCGCCCCCCCCGCCGGTTACATAATGGTGGGGGCGGGGGGGGCCCCCGAGGCTGGCGGCGTGGGGCGCGCGGCCTGGGCTGGGGCCGTCGGGAACCCCTCCCGGGCGCCCGGGGACCCCCTTAGAGACCCCCGGTGTCGTCCTTAGTCGCTGCCCCAGGTCGGAGCCCGCTCGCACCGCAAGGTAGCAGGAGGGTCCCCGCCGGGGAGGGCTGAGTGGAGGCGGAGTTCCCTTCTGGAAAACTTTGGTTCGGGGCGGCCGAGAGAGGTCTGAAGTTGGGAGGGTCGAGGAGTGTTTGGGGGCGGCGTAAGAGGGGATCTGCCTGGCTCGGAAGTTCTCCGCCAGGACCCCTCGCTCCGCAGCCCTACAAAAGTGTTCCTCCATATGCTGGCAACTCAGGCGGGGGGCTGAGGGTGGCACGGCCCTGGGAGGCCGGGAGGTGCAGTCCAGGCTGCCTCTTCCTGGAGGCTGGGTGGGGGAAGCCCGAGCTGCTGCTCCCCCTCGGATAGGATCCTCCCGCCACAACGGCCGGGTCTGCCATGTGGTTGAGTCAGCCCGCCAATACGCGCCCCCCCAGCCCCAGCACCTGGCCAGGTGGGAGGGTGGGGCCCGAAAGCCCAACCTGGTGTGTGCATCAGGTTTCCCCTAAGGACTCGTTCAACTCAAATAAGGGGAGTGGGGGGAGGGAGGTTGCTGGAGGAGGTCGGGGGTGTCACGGGTGGGGGGGCAGTTGTCTCTGGCAACTTCAAAGTTGGTGTGAAGAGGCCTTTGGAATTGGGAGGGAGTGTGACTGTCCCCTAGAGGTAGGACTCAGGAGAACGGAATAGGAGGGCAGAGAGCAGTGGGTGGAGGGCAGTTTCCAGGCCAGGGGCCAAGAGCAGAACGGCCTCCAGGCTTTGGGTTCCTTTCCACATGAGTCTGTGTCCTTATGGTTGCAGACCCTGCTGGAGCTGGGGAAAGTTGCCCCAGGCTCCGCTGGACCTAGTTCAGGTGGCCAGGCCAACTTTGGGGGCCACTTAGGCCCTTTCCTCACTCTATACCCTCTTCCGAGCAGCGTGCGTAATCCTGTATCCCTGGAGCTCCTTGTTCCTTGAAACTTCCAGATGTGCAGCCTGTGAATGGAAGGAAGTACAGGGAGAAGTGGGGCTCTCCCAGCTTTCAGGGCCTCCTAAGATCCTGGGCCGTGGGGGGTGCTGGAAGCAGAAGCAGCCACCCAGCCTGGTGTGCACATGGTGTGTGTGACGTGTGGACCGTGGTGTACTTTACCCTGCACCTTTGATCTGTCCGGCTTCTAGGCCCGGACGCCAAGACCTTGTTGGGCCTGGCAAGAACTGAACCCAGGTCTTCACTGCTCCTACCTCCTGGGGGTGGGACAAAGTCTGGAGGCTGGCCCAGGCCCCAGGGAGGGGTGCAGCTGGAATGTGGGTTGCGGGGAACTCTTTCCCCGGATCGGGGAAGAGAAAAAAGGGAGGGGGACACAGGGGCCCACATTGGGTCCCATGAGGTAGAGCTTCAGGGTGAGGCTAGGTTGGGGATGCCCTTCTGTCTTGTCTTCACTCTGGACCTCCAGGACAGAAAGTGGGGACAGGAAGACAGGTCTTCTTTTTGAGGCCTGGACCTTAGAGATAGAGCTTGGCTTGGGGAGGGCAGGTCAGACTGGATGGCAAGAAGGTGCCACCCTAAGCCTGTGCTCTGGCTTCTGTGACATTAGGGGAATGGTCCACCCAAGGCTCTTACCTCCCAGATGAATCCCCCTCTCACGTGGAAAGAACACACCAGTTCAAGCCTCCTCATCGTGCTGGGATGCTGCCTTAGTCCCCAGACGGACAGAGTCTGAAGGGGCCTGGCCCTTCCTGAGAGGGAGGAGGAGTGTGGGGCCCTCATAGACAGCCCCACCTAATCTAAGAGACAGAATCCTCAGCCATGGCGAAGGGCCTGCTTCTGGGGAGGACGGCTGACTGGGGGTGAGGCGGGGAGAGGCCCAGCCAGAGGGGCCACGTGGTCGGCAAGACCTGCCTGGAGTGGAGGGTGACTCCATCTTAACCTTCTCCTTTCCCTCTTCCTCCTGCTTGACTTCTTGGGGGATCTCCAAGCACTTAGCAATTAACCTCCAAGACTCAGGGATTTTTTCCCTCCCAGGTTCCTTCCTCCTCTCTGCTTCCTGTTTCACAATCCCAGAAAACCTGAGCAGCCAGAGGGCCTCACCCAGCTCACTCCCCCTGCCCCCCCCCACGGCTAGGCCCCACCTTCTCTTTTCTGTCTCTCAGGCTTGCCACACTTTCCCGGCCCCAACTGTCTCCTGCCCCAGATTTTCTGGTTCCTGGGTCAGGTTGGGCCTGGCCCTGGGTGTGGTGGTCAGAACCCTGGCTGGCAGGCTGTGTGGGCTTAGCCTTCCCTACTCTCTTCCTCCGTGTGGGCCGGCCGCCCTGGGCTGGGGAGTTGCCTGCTTTCTGCACCTGGGAGCTTCAGCTCCCGTGTCAGACCTCAGAGGATGACCGTGGGCTCTGGGAAGACATGAGTCATGTGCTCGGCTCTGTGTGATGCAGCAAGTGCAGAGGGCTGGGCCTGGAGTGGATGGGCCCTGGCCTGGGAGGATGGACCTTCTGGATTCCCGCTGTGGCTGAGAAGCCTCGGAGCCCCCTCCCCTGTTGGTCAGTGTGTGGGGGGGTGTGGGGGGGTCCCCAGCCCTCCTCTGGCCCCACCCTGACCCACTTAGCCTTGAGTCACTTGTTCTGAGTCACAGCCTGGATATAAAGCCTGGGAGACATATGTCTGTATTGGGGGTACAGGCCTCCCCTGAGACCTCATGTCCTCTATGTGGAGGAAGAACCGCCCTTTGCTTCAAAATGCAAGAAACGACGTTTCCTTTGCAGCTTGAAGGATGGAAGGGATTTTTCCCCGGTGGAGGTGAGGGGCTGGGACTTGCATTAAGTGGAAGGAGCACCCCTCTCCTGGCACCTCCCCCACAGGAACCTACAGTCAAGGGGAGGCCGGGGTGGGGTTGGCCCTGTTGGGGTGGGTGCCCACCTGCCCAGGCTGCTGGCTTCGTTTCTTCCAGACCCACCCTTTTATGTGAAGGGGTCAGCAGGGCGGCTGTATCTGGTTAATTGTTTTGTTTTTAATTCCCATCCATTTTTTTGTTTCTCCTCCGCCCCTGAGGCTGGGCAGCTGGTGGCCTCCTGGGTCCCCCGTCACACCGCTGAGCTGCCTCTGACTTCGCTGTCCATGGCCTCCCATGGCCTCCCATGGCCTGTGTCTGGGAGCAGCCCTGCCCTAACTGTGCTCCTTGGGAGAACTTCTGGCCCCTCCTTTCCGGAGCCTCAGTTTCTTATTTCTGCCCTCCAGCAGGTTAACACCCCAGCTCAGGTGTGACCACCAAGAATGCAGAGCGCAAGGTTCCCTGCTGTGCTCCCAGCAAGACCCTTTGCTCCCCAGCCCTGCCCCTGGTTTCTGGAGCTGAGATCCTCCAAGAGGAGGCCCAGGCCTTCTGCTATTGTCCTGAGCCTTTCTCTGGGGACCTCTAAGCCTTGGAGGCTCACATTTTGTTTTTTTGCTTGCCCCCTTTGAGAGGGGGTGGGGAGCTGCATGGTCACAAGACCCAGGTGTTCTGGCCGGGAACCAACTCCTCCTGCGCCTGCACCCAAGGGCTGGCTTCCTGAGAAGGGCCTAGGCCCTCCAGCCCCTAGCTGTGGTTTCAGGCTGCAGCCTGGGACCCAGGTGCCAGACTCCAGGCTCGGGGGTGGGGTGTGTTAGTGTCCCCTCCTCCCCAGTCCGGAGAGAGGGCCTGGGGGGGAGGGGTGGTCACATTCCTGGTTGCTGAGTGGCCCCGGGGGCGGGGTGGGTTGTCATGGCGATGGGGATCCTGTTTGTGGGGGGGAACTGCGTGCCTTTCCACCCCCTGCTATCACACCCCAAGCTCTTGGTCATGGGGAGGGCCCAGTTGGTGCTGGGCCTTCCTGAGGGGAGGAGCCGGACCTCTGTCCCCAGAGGCCACAGGGCAAGGGGGGAGGTGCCCAGGGACCTGAAGGCTCCATGCCTGGAGCAAGATGCCCGCCCCCTTCAGGCCCAGGGCCCCACCCCCTCTCCTGGGTGTGTCTCAGCTGGTTTCCAGCCCCCCAGCCTCCTCAGCGGCCCAGGTCAGGCCCTGCGTCCCAGTCTCTGTGTTAATCACCTCCTTGGCCTGGCCGTTTGGGTCCTATCTGTGCCTGGGGCCCCAGTAAACATGGCCACCTGGCCTGTGTCCGGCGGGAAGCCAGGCTACTGGGGTGGCTGCAAGTGTTGCTGGGAGTTGTAGTCCCCCCGCCCCTCTGCCCCCAGCTCAGCTTGGCCTGGGCTTCCAGGGCCTGGTCAGGGGAGGCTGATGGGGAGGGACGCTGCCTGTCCATTTCCCTGACCGCAGACCTCTGCACCTTCCCCACCACGGTGCTCCTCGCGCCTGTGGGATGTGGGGGACAGGGGGGTCAAGTCAGGAGACCAACTCAGACCCTCACTAACTTCCCCTGTCATTTTGGGGGGCGTGTTTCCTCCTCTGTAAAATGAGTGTCTGACCTCAAGAGTCTTTCAAAGTGCTCCCCAGAGGCCTGTGGCATTGTCTTGGGGGGGGGTGTCAGGTGGGCAGCCCTTGCCCTTGTCCCTCCCCCTCCACCAGAACCGGCCGCCTTTCCCTGCTGCTCAGCTTCCAGTGTCAGATCTTTGAGCTGTGGGCGCGCCAGGCCCCTAGGAGGGGGGACAGACAGACCAGGTCTCAGGTCTCAGGGCAGGTGCAAGGCTGATTCCACGGGCCGTGCTCAGATACTCCTGCGGGTGACCGTGACCCTGGGGCTCTGAAGGAGAGGGGCTGAGCCTTCTGTGAGGGGAAGGCTCCCCAAGACTGAGTGTGGGAGACCAGAGGCCAGCGTCTGTCCGGGGAGGAGGGCTCACACCTGAGGGCTGGACTGCGGGCCAGGCCATGGCCATGGCCATTTAATCCTTACCCACCGGACGGCTTAAGTGCCTTGACAAGCTTCATTTTACAGATGAGGTAACTGAGGTCGGGGACGTTGACTGCGTTGCCCCAGGTCTTCCAAGTGTATTGGTGGCAGCGTGGGGATTCCGACCTTGGTGCCCGGGAGGAGGTGATTGGATGGGCTCTCCGGTGAGCCGATGGCACGAAGGGCTCGAGGCAGCACCTGCACGGTGGGCACAGTGGCTTGTAGGCGGGCAGTAGCCCAGGGAGCCTGAAGGGGAGAGGTGTCCCTGCTTGGGCTGGGCTGTCGAGCCCGAGGAGCAGGTCCCGGCTCCAGGTTTCCACGGGGCTTCTTGTCTGACTCTGAACGAAGTCCTTCTGCTTGAAAGGGTTTAAACACCACTTCGGGGATCTCCCGGGTCCGTCTCAGTCTGGTTTTACGCAAATGTGTCTTGGAGGCCGGCCTCAGCCCCAGACTCGACCTCAGGACGCCACTCACTGCCTTCCCTCATCTTGCTCCCAGATCGACGAGATGCCGGAGGCGGCCGTGAAATCCACAGCCAACAAGTACCAAGTCTTTTTTTTCGGGACCCATGAGACGTGAGTGAGGGCCTGGAGGTGGGGCGGTCAGAGGCTGATCTGGCGCCCCTCCCACTGGGGCTGCGCAGCTTACCAGCCAGGGCTCCAGAGCACAGTCTCCCCTCTCTCCCCAGGGCATTCCTGGGCCCCAAAGACCTCTTCCCGTACGAGGAGTCCAAGGAGAAGTTTGGCAAGCCCAACAAGAGGAAAGGCTTCAGCGAGGGTCTGTGGGAGATTGAGAACAACCCCACTGTCAAGGCCTCTGGCTACCAGGTGAGCGGCTGTCCACCCCAGAGACCCCCTGGGAAGCAGGTGTGGCCACTGGCTCCGGAGCCCACGGGACCGGAAATGTTTAGCCTGCAGGAGTGGGGGTAGGGGTGGGGGTGGGGGAGGCCCTGTAGGAGGGGCTGGGGTCGCAGGGGGTGGGGTGCGTGGTGTGGGGGGCAAGGACAGGACAGAGGCGGTAAGTGGGGACAGCCCTTTACGGGGCCTAGTGTGAGAGTAGGACTCAGCCTGAACTCTTTCCACAAAGGCTTCCAGGAGGAGGTGCTCGTGAGCCGGGCAGGATGAGGCGGGAGGGTGGGGGGCGGGGGTCGGCGGGGAAAGGGTCCCAGCTCCCTTCGGGAGAAGTTGACCCGAGGTTTTGCCTCCTGCTCCAGCCCTCCCCCCTCCTGCACAGAGCCCTGCCTGCCCGGCCAGTGGGTTTAGCCCGGGGCTAATCCGACAGAGGTGGGTCTCAAATCACTCGTGAGACTGGGCACCTGGGGGCGGGCGGGGGCGAGGTGGGAGAAGGAAGGAGTGAGTGGCTGCGGGCGGGTCCGGGGAGGGGCCCCATGGGCCCCGCTGGTACCACTCAGCCCCTCCCGTCTCCGCGCAGTCCGCCCCGAAGAAGAGCTCTGTGGACGAGCCGGAGCCTGAGCCCGAAGCCGCAGAGGGGGATGGCGACAAGAAGGGGAGCGCCGAGGGTAGCAGTGATGAGGAGGGGAAGCTGGTCATCGACGAGCCGGCCAAGGAGAAGAACGAGAAGGGGGCGCTGAAGAGGAGAGCAGGGGACACGCTGGAGGTGACGGACACCACCTGGAGCCGCAGAGGGCGTGGGCGGGCAGGGGTGTTCAGGGACATCCTGATCTGGGGAGACCAGCACCTAGTCTGGGGTCCCTAGACCCTTCAGCTGGCAGAGGGCTGGGGAAGCGGACAGTGGGTGTCCCCAGGAAGGAGCCTCTCCGGGGGCTCTGCTAGGTGGCTGGGGTCCTCCCTCTCTGGCCTCAGTGGGCCTCATCTCTGCCAATCCTCCCCAGGACTCCCCTAAACGTCCCAAGGAGGCAGAAGACCCTGAAGGGGAGGAGAAGGAAGTAGCCCCCTTGGCTGAGAGGCCCCTCCCTGTGGAGGTGGAGAACAGCACCCCCTCGGAGCCCAGCTCTGGCCGGGGCCCTCCTCAAGGGGAGGAGGAAGAGGAGGAGGAGGAGGAGGAGGAGGAGGAGGCTGCCAAGGAAGATGCCGAGGCCCCAGGCATCAGAGATCATGAGAGGTGAGGGAGCCCCCTGCCCGAGGCAGCTGGGCTCGGGGGGCCCAGCCACCCGAGGAGAGGAGGAGGAGGAGGGCCTGCAGCGGAGGCAGGGTGGGCTCCCCCAGGACACTGGCCCTGGCTGGGGTGTGGCTGGCAGAAGGCCACGCGATAACCCTTCTCCCCTCCAACCCTCCCCCGCAGCCTGTAGCCACCAATGTTTCAAGAGGAGCCCCTGCCCCGTTCCTGCTGCTGTCTGGGTGCTACTGGGGAAACTGGCCATGGCCTGCAAACTGGGAACCCCTCCCCCCCACCCCCCTGCTCTCCTCTTCCACTTACTCCCCCCGCTCCAAGCCCAGCCTCTGGAGATTGACCTGGATGGGGCAGGCCACCTGGCCCTCACCTCCCTGTCCCCAACACCCTGTGATCTGATCTGAGTCAGGGCCCTGTCTTCTGCTTCATGGGCTGAGATGCAACCATTGTGTCCCTGCCTGCCTGGAGCTGTTTCTGAGGGTATCTGGTGGGGCCTGGACTGGCTGTTTCCACCTCCTGACACCTCCTCCCCCACCCCCCTCCCCCAGCATTCTGGACCTCTGGGTTAGCTGGGATCAGAGGTAGGAGTGGAAAAGCTGGAGAAGAGACAGCGGGGGTCGGCTTCTGGGCCAGAGAAGGGCAGTCTTCAAGTTGGGGAGGAGGTGGGCAGGAGGATGGCGTCTTCGTGCACTCCTGTCCCTTCCTCCCATACCTATTATCCCAGCTGCCTAGATTCAGGGAAAGTGGGACAGCTTGTGGGGGAGGGGCTCCCTTCCATAAATCCTTGATGATTGACAACACCCTTCTTTTTGGTGACCCCAGGAGTTCTGGGAGTTGTAGCTGATCATCAAAAGATTGGGGCCTCCTGAGACGGGCAGGGTTGGCCTCACCCAGTGGGGGCAGGGGAGTGTTGAGGAGTATCTGCCCCCCCCCTTGATCTCTGCCCTGGGGAGACCCCTAGCCCTGTCCCCACCCCACGTGCTCAAGGCCAGCCTACAGTCATAAATGTCACCCAGACATAAAGGAAAAGACACATTTTTTAGGAAATGTTTTTAATAAAAGAAAATTACAAAAAAAAAATTTTAAAGACCCCATCCCTTCGTGTGCCCCCTCCTCCTCACTCTTTCCCCCACTGCTGCCCCCACTCCCGAGGTGCACCGGGAGGCTCCCCTTCTGTTTGGGGTCTGACGACTTTTCTTTCTGTAGCTGGGGCTTTGGTGTTCCTTCTCTTGTCACGGCCCATTCACAACCCCCACCCGGTCTCCTCAGTGTCGTCACCAGACCCGAACCCCACTGAGAGGACAGGGAAAGAAGTGCCCTCGCCCAGCCTCTCGCACGTGGTCTCTCTGCCTCTCTCCGGTCACCTGTCTCCCCTCGCCCCTCTCCCTCGGGCTCTGATGAAAACTTGCTGACTGTAGCTTTGGGAGTGTAGCTCCGAGAACCGTAGCCGATTTCAGTTCTAGGACAATAAAACCCGTTGATTACTAGCTCGGATCCGCCTGCTGCTTGGGCGGGGAGGCACGGGAGGGACGGCGGTCGCGGAGATCCCCTTCTCGGGTGGGGTGGGCGCTGCAAGTCCGCGCGCCGCACCCCTCGCTCCACCGGCCCCTGGGAGGCCTCGGCGCGGGGCTGGCGGGAGCGGGGTCCTGGGCACCGGCCCGGGGACGGGAGCTGCTGCGTCGGGTCCGAGCGGGGGTGCCCGCCAGCCCAAGCGGTGGGGAAGGGCCGGGGGCCCGCGAGCGGGGTCCTCCCACGACCCCGAGTCGCAGGAGTCCCGTGGAGCGGCCGGGGAAGGTCATCTCCCGCCCTCCCAGAGCTGACATTTTGTGACAAGCCCATCGACTAGCCTTCGAAGGGCCCACGTTGCACCCTTTCCTGCAGAAGCCTTAGGGCAGTTTCTTAATCTGCCCTGACCCCCTGCTGCGGACTGGGGCGCGCGGGGAGAGGACGGGCCTCAGCCCTGCCTGGAAGGGGAGGCTCTCGGCTGCGAATGGGAAGGTACAATCCCCGAGAAAATGGAGCCCTGCTCCTGGGAACTACAATTCCCAACGGCCCTCGCGAAGAGCGCGTGAGGGAACGTTGCCGGGCGCTGAGGCCTATCCCGCCCGGCCTTCAACTTCCGACGTGCTTCTCGGTGTTCTTACGTTTCCTCATTTCCTACCCGACCAAATTTCCTGTTTCCAGCTCGCTTCCAGGCGGCGGACTACAACTCCCAGCTTGCACAGCGAGGTTGGCCCGAGGGTCCGCTCGCATTTGGACTACATTTCCCAGAAAGCCCGGCGACCGTGGCGGGGGTGGTGGTGCCAGGGCGCATGTGCGGGCGGCACGGCGGGAAGCCGAGGTGAGCGTCGGGTACGCAGACGGTGGTGACCTCGCCAGGGTCGCCCGGGAGCCGGCGTCTGGAAGGGCCTTCGTTTGCCCCGGCCGTGCTCAGTGGGCTGCCGGGAACGGGTGGGTGCCGAAGACTGCTGGAGCCGGGGTGGGGGCGGGCGCGGCGCCGGGGCACGCCGCGGAAGCCCCCGAGGACGTCCCTCCAGGGTGTGCGGGAGACGAGGGCGGGTCCAGCGGGCTGGCTTCCGTGGTCTCCTCCCGGAGCTGCAGACCCGGGCCCCTCGCCCCGATCCGGCGGCTGAAGTAGCCCCCGGGTTTCCTCGTCTGCGGAACCGACCCTGTGGTCCGTGCCCCTGCCGCTTCGTTCCCAGCCCGGCGGGGCGGCTCCCTGCGCTCGGCCGGGCCCGGGGCTGCGCTCCGACGCGCGGGTTGGATCTGCGGGGAGCCGTGGGCCCGACGTTCGCTGGGGACAGCGCCGGGCGTCGTGGTTTCCGCACAGGGAAGTATGGGGGGGAACGGCCGACGCTCTGACGAGCCGGTTCGGTTTTGTCCCCCCGCGCAGTGAGCGTACTGGAGCAGAAGGAAGGAGCCGCGTCGGTTTCCTCGCCCCGAGCGAGCCCTGGGGCTCTCCTTCCTTCGCGTAAGTTTCTTTTATTTTAAGATTTTTTATTCATTTGACAGATCACAAGCAGGCAGAGAGGCGGGGCGGAAGGGGGGGGGAGAAGCAGGCTCCCCGCTGAGCAGAGAGCCCGACGCGGGGCTCGATCCCAGGGCCCTGAGACCATGACCTGAGCCGAAGGCAGCGGCTTAACACACTGAGCCGCCGGGGCGCCGCTCTCCCTTCGCATAAATGTCGAAGTCTGTGCCCGAGTGTACGCATGTTTCGTTTGCCTCCAGACGTGCTACCGTCGACAGGACTTCGCTCTGCGCTCTGTTCAGACCGAGGGGAACCTGCGGAGTGTCAGGGGTGAGGAAACAGGCTCAGGCGTTGGGTTGCGGCAGAGTAAGGCGGTGAGCACGGAGGCGCGGAAGCTCTCTGACCCCAGCAGCGCTTTGTGCCAGGAGAATGCCCTTCACTTTAAAATCTTATTTTTAAAAATAAATTTTTACCTTTTCGACAGAGCGCACAAGCAGGGGGAATGGCAGGCAGAGGAAGAGGGAGACGCAGACTCCCTGCTGGGCGGGGAGCCTCCTGCAGGGCTGCATCCCAGGACCCGGGAGCATGACCTGAGCCGAAGGCAGATGATGCTCAACCGACTGAGCCCCCCAGGCACCCCCTCCATCCTCTTCCCTTAGTGCGGGATGCAGGAAAGCCGCGTGGTTCCGGGCAGGTAGAAGAGCTTAGTATTTCTGCCTCAGTTCTCTCATCAGCCCACTGACTTAGTCCATCATCCAAAACTGGGAGGCTGCCAGTACATACTTAGTTGGGAAGTCCAGGGCTCCGTCATCCTAGAGTCTGGCCCTGGGGCCGTTTCCTTTAGAAAAGAAGCTGTCGGCGCGCCTGGGTGGCTCAGTGGGTTAAGCCTCTGCTTTCAGTGCAGGTCATGGTCTCGGGGTCCTGGGATCGAGCCCCGCATCGGGCTCTCTGCTCAGTGGGGAGCCTGCTTCCCTCTCTCTCTGCCTGACTCTCTGCCTACTTGTGATCTCTGTCAAATAAACAAATAAAATATTAAAAAAAAAAAAAAGCTGTCTTAGGGAAGAGGAGTGCTTGTTTCCTGAATGAATTTAGGAATGGGAAGTGGTGTAGCAACATTTTAATCCCCCCCCCTTTTTTTCTATGATTTTTCTTATAATTGCCTGCCCCTTGGCCGTGTGCCGCTGATTTGATCCCCTTCCCGGTGTGTTTCCTATCTTGCTGTCTGTGCGTGTATCTGAGAACTGTTTACAGAGTGTCTACTATATGCCGAGCCCTGCTTGGATCTGCCGGACTCAGGGGTGACCCAGATGGCACAGTCCCTGGCCTTGGGGAACTTTTTGGACTTTGAAGTCAGACATGTGGGTGTGAATGTCAGTTCTCACGTAGTAGCTTTAGACCACGGGCAAGTCACCGAACCTCAGTAAGTCCTTTGTCATCTGTAAAGTGAAGAGAACATGTCATGGGGATTCAGTGAGAGCCATTTAGCAATGGACTGAGCGCAAAAAAAATTCTTTCCCTTCCCTCGCTTCTTTGCCCACCTGTTTCTGTCTGTCTATTCTGTGGGGTTTTTTTGGCTTTTAGTTAGATGTTTGTTTGTTTACCGTAGGCTCCACACCCAATGTGGGGCTTGAACTCGGGACCCTGAGCTCGAGTGTCACGTGCTCTCCCGACCGAGCCAGCCAGGCGCCCCTCCATCCATCCACTTCAGAGCTGACTGAGAAGGCTTCTGGGTCTTCCCTGGTCAGGGGACTTCTCCCGGCCTCCGGCCATGCGTCTCTCTGCCCTGCGGGCCTTGGCATCCAAGGTCACTCTGCCCCGAGACTACCGCTATGGGATGAGCCGTCCGGGCTCCCTTGCAGACAGGAGGAAGAACCCTCCAGGGACCCGGCGGCGCAGGGTGGCTGTGGAGCCCGTCTCCGATGAAGAGTGGCATCTGTTCTGTGGGGACACGGTGAGAGCCTCGGATGGGGCGGAGTGGCGGGGGGCTCCCGGACAAGCGCCCCTCCCTGACCTGCACGTCTTCCCGCAGGTGGAGGTCCTGGAAGGCAAGGATGCTGGAAAGCAAGGCAAAGTGGTTCAGGTCATCCGGCAGCGCAACTGGGTGGTCCTGGAGGGACTGAACACGGTGAGTGGAGAGACGGGGCTGCTCCGTTCCTCTGTCACTGTGCGGTGAGCAGCCCAGGGCAGGAGGAGACGAGCTGCAGGGGCAGGGACACAGCTGACTGCTCTGCTGTTCCCCCGGGGCTGAAGGCAACGGCTTTCTTCCAACAGCACTACCGCTACGTCGGCAAGACCGCAGACTTCCGGGGAACCATGATCCCCAGCGAAGCGCCCTTGCTCCACAACCAGGTCAAGCTTGTGGACCCTGTGGACAGGCAAGCACACGCGGCCCTGGTCAGAGGGTTTCCCACCCTGCGTGTCTACGTAGCTGTTGACCACACTGATACCAAAGGAACGGTGGGTCGCGGGCTCCGAAGTTGAGAGGGGCTATCCATGTGATGGACATGAGCCCCTCTGGGTCACCCCAGTACAGATGAACAGCGACAAGATGGTGACCTGTGTTCAGCCACTGGCTTTTTTGGGCAGAACATGGCAGGAAGAGCTGGTTCCCATGCCGGGTTTTTCTCTTCCACCCACTAGGAAACCCACCGAGGTGGAATGGAGATTCACTGAGGCGGGAGAGCGCGTCCGTGTCTCCTCGAGATCAGGAAGAATTATCCCCAAACCTGATTTTCCCAGGGCGGACGGCATCGTCCCTGAGACGTGGATCGGTGAGGCGTGGACTGAGGGGCAAGGAGGCGGGCTGGGAGGAGTGGGAGTGAGGGGTGTTAAGAAGCCCTCCCACCTGTGTTCCTTCCTCTGGCTCAACAAGATGGTCCCAAAGACACCTCGGTGGCAGATGCTCTAGAAAGAACCTACGTGCCCCGTTTAAAGACACTGGAGG